TTTCCTTTCACCTATTCATGCATTTATTCCTACACCCTTTCGCCCTTTCCCCTATTCCTGCATTCATTTCTAAACCCTTTCATCCTTTCACCTTACATGCATTCATTCATGCTTCCTTTCACTTATTCTTACATTCATTCATACACCCTTTCACCCTTTTACCTATTCCTGCGATCATTTCTAAATCTTTCATTTTTTCGCCTATTCATGCATTCATTCATGCTTTTTCACTTATTCTTGCATTCATTCCTACAGCCTTTCACCTATTCCTGCATTCATTTCTAAACCTTTCATCCTTCCAGTCATGCATACTTTCATCTGTAAATTTCAAGTCATTTATACAGGCGGAAATTTCATTCTTTCGTAGAATTTTTCTCTCCTGATTTTACTTTTATTCACCTAAGTTTTTTTACATAAAGATCTCCTATTGAATCCCGGTGCCTTTTTTTTTAAAACTAGCCCTCTCCCAAGGTACTAATGCAAGTTAATTGCCGTTGTGTATACTATGCGCACATATTAAAACCAGTTCTCTCTGGGCGGAATTTGTAAACAAAAGTAGATGCAGCAGTGTTCGTCTAGTATTTAATTTTGATAATTTTGATAATTCTCATAATAGTTTCCTTTGACCAGAGTATTTCATAGATTGTTTTGTGAATATGGATTCCATGTCAGGCTTTGACATCCGTCTTATGTTTACTTTGCCGCCCAAAGACAGTTCACTGCGGTAAAAAAAATGCGTACACTTATGAAATAACTTTCCTTGTACCTTGTACTCTCCTATCCAATTCCATAGTGATAGTAATTGGTATGGAAAGGGGGGGGGGGGTATGAAATAAGATTCAATTAAGTTTTTTTTTACCTTCTCATATAAAGCCTTACAAATTTCGTCTGGAGATAAAATACTCCAATTTCTTAGAATATCGTAAGATTCTTACACAGCACGATGTTATCTAGATATGAATATTCTTGTCCTCCCCCCCCCCACCTAGTGATGTTACTTTATTATCTTTATTTTATTTATATTTTGTCTTATGAAAATTATTGTGTGGGATCGTTTCTTGCTTGGCCCCAGGGAAGGTTTATTGCCAATCAGACTTTAAATATGTAATCTTAAAATATGTTTATCTTTAATTATTTAATTAAGTAAACTTTTGAAAATGCGCGAAAAAATATTATGAAATCCGCCAATTTTTTGAAATTTTTTTATACTGTATAAAGAGAAGATGCTTACAGATAAAGCCACAATTAAAAATTGAAAAAGAAGATTTGGCGCGAAGCTCCGTAAAAGTCTTGTAAATATATGTTTGTATATTTGAATGTTAGCTATAGCTGGCCAAACGGCTGGACCGAAATGACTGAATTTTTTTTTAAGGATCCCATGGGTACCCTGGAGGTGACTAAACCAAAAAATTTCGATTTTTAAAAATCAATTTATTTTCAAATTCGAAATATTTTTAATTTCAGGGGATACGCCGAGTACTTCAGCTAGTAAAATTAATATTAAATATGAAAACTAAATTGTAATGGTTGTTTCCAACAATGAATGCATTTGTGCAAAGTTCCCTGATTTTTTTTATTGAATTGCTGATCTAGCAAAATTTAAATATCAATTTTCAAAGTCATTTCTCGGAAACTTATCAGCAGAAGTTAGGCTTTAATAAAGAAAAACAATGGTTTTAATTTAGTTTTAGTTTGAATTTTGGAAAATCATTTCAGTAGAAAATAAATCAATTTTCGAGTTTAAAGTATAAAAAGGGGGAAACCTGCTGACGTATTTTTTCTTTTTTTTCTCTCCAATTCTTGGAAAATCGGGGATGTGAATCTACAAAACTAAATTAAAACTTTATTAAAAATTCTTCAAGTTACAAGAAAGATGAGAAAAAAACCATCTGACCTTGAAGATATATTTTTTCATCATTATTTATTAACATTTTTCACGGAAAATATTATTGAGGTATAAGTTGATTTATCTCTCGAGAAGTTTTCCGGTTGTTAGAACTAGCTGATTGGACGAGTGAGTGTTAGTGTGAGTGTGTGAGTGAGTGAGTGAGTGAGTGAGAAAAGCTAGGTGATGATGAAAAAGTACGTTTTAATTAAGGAGATGTTAAACGACATTGTCAATCAAAGAAAAAAACTGTCAACATTAATAAAGTTAGATTTTTTGTGATGAAATGTCCTTTCTTAGTTAAAAATTACAAATTTATATTTTTTATTTTTTGTAAGACCATATGATTAACACTCTTATTTTATACCTGAATCTTTAAAATTTTTATGTTCGTTTCCATAAATTCAATTAATAACTTGATAATTTATCAAAAAAAATGATGATTAATTTTTATCAATGACTCATTCTTAATTTTTATCTTTGCTTATGAATGTTTGTATGTATGAAAAAATTCTTATCTTATCTAAGGAATTTATGACAAAATATTACATTGTACACATTACTGCAAACATTTCGGGATCTCAATTTCACCAACTAAGTTCTGAAATAATTTTTTAACTGTTTTGCATTTCTATACTCCGCTAAATAATAAAAAAAGCCAGGGGTGTATATAATTCCAATTTTTTATTCCCCCCCCCCCCCGCCTAAAATTTAGTTTTGATTTCCTTTCCCAAATTCGATAACTTAAAGAGATCATTTTCTTCCCCCTTCCCCACCCTTCCCTTTTTCCGCTGTTACACTGTTCCTTTACTTTTTCCCCTTTTCCTTTCATTTTCCCCCTCCCTTTTTCCGCTGTTACACTGTTCCTTTACTTTTTTCCCTTTTCCTTTCATTTTCCCCCTCCCTTTTTTCCCCTTTTCTCTTTCCCTTTTCTTTTTCCTTCCCCTTTCCCTTCCCTTTTCCTTCACTTCCCCTCCTCTTGGGTCTTATTTCTTTTTAAGCGTTATCATTACTTTTTTATTTCTTCTCAGATTTTTCTTCTTATTCTTAGTTTTTGATAAACTGTTTGAATATAATCTATTTAGGGGAATGTTAAAATGTTAAAATGTTCACAATTTCAAGACAAATTCCAGTCTTTTAGTGAAAATAAATCTTGAGCGAGATTAATTTTACTTATCACATCTGTCATAAATTCTTTCAAAAATTCGTTTTAAATTGACAAATAATTGCATTTTATTTTGTTTAAAAATCAAAACTAAAAATTGTAGTATTTTGGTCCCCCCACTAACATCTCGATGTATAACCTTTTTTGATATAGCTTCTTGTACTCCTCTACGAGAGCTATATGGATAAAATGCCAACACTCAAAAGATGAACTAGTATGAATATTTTATCACAGATATAAAAACTAAGGCTGTGTCTGTTCACCCTTTTGAAATCGGCTCTAGAAGATATATCTCAACATCAAATAAAGAAAATCTAAAGAAACTGCATAAGTTCTGCAAACCCAGTGTTAGTTTCAAAGCAATGTGCGAAAATCTATCAAGCCTTGCAGTACTGTCATCATACCACATTTTTAGAAAACGATAAACACTAGACTGGGACCAAGAAACTCCATTTCTGAAAACCACCTCTGAATAACTAAACTATCACTTGCTAAAATTCTTGTATGGCACCTGTTTTTTTTGGCAAACCCTGTCAATTATAAAATGCGATATCCAGAGAAAAGAGTATTATTTTGTAAACTTTTATATTGTTTAATGTAATTTTGCTTCAGACAAATATAAATGATGAATAATAATATATACCAGATATAAGGGAGTATAAAGATCTATATAAGTATAGAATATGCGATATTTTCCACACCAGGTTATATTGTGTACAGCTGGAGTACACGACCAATAAACAGACTTCTGTATTCAGTGATATTTAAGGATCCTTTGGATACAAAATACTAAACCTGCATAAATAGACTAAACTCATAAGTTAGAGTATTTCATTAAATATTGTAAAACTTATAATTGAGTATTATATGCACACCCTGCAGTGTGGAATTTTTTCTACAACTTGGCACCATACTTTAAATTATTGACAATAAAAACATGGTTAATTTCTGCCCATAAATATCAATCAATAAACAAAGGGATCGTATTGATGGAATTATATGGACTCCTGTTTGATGTAAATTATTGGACCGAGGTTAAAATGTATTACAAAAAGGCATTACTTAAATTAAATCTTTTAAATACATAAATACATGCAAACACCGCTATCTATGGATATAAAGTAGTAATCTCTGATTGACTGTCTGCTTGGATGCCTGATCATTAACCGGTTGACCGATTTGCCTCAAATATTTTGATTCCGGGAAACTCGGTAGAAAATTATTATAAATTAAAATACCATGAATATTTTGTACCGTGTTTGAATTATTAACTAGCTTTCTTCCTTAAGTAAACATTAACATTGAAATAAAATCTTTCAATGGAAAAAATTTCATATTTTTAGGTTTGTTAAGAAATGGCGTTGCATCGAACACGTTCCTTCTTGGGGAGAAAAAGTTAAAGAGTATTTACAAAATGAATTGCACAGGTAAACAAACTAATCCAATCTACGATTCTTCAATTGTATCATTTCGCATTTTTCGCAAACATTTTTTTTCGGGACCATTGTGCTTCATTTTCACATTTGGAAAATGCGACTGAAAATTTTCGCATTTTTTCGCGAAACGTTTCGTTCGCTGGAAACCCTAGTCTTAATATATTTCATTTATTTGGATTTAAATGGTTGACTTGTTCAATTATACATCTGTAAAACTCAAAAACTATTTCTAAAATAAGTTATTTTTTAATGAATTCTTTTTTGTATATTTCTTAGGGACAAGGTTACAGTAAAGGTGATAGAACCTTCTAAACCATACAATGCTAAAGTTCCCGCCGGAAGTAATAATGATGGAACTTATGAACAATTCAGGTTTTAATTATTATTAACAGTTGAAATTTTACATAAAAAATCCAACAAGAAAAGTTGCAGAAAATAACATAATTAATAATGTAGATTTCTGTGAATCTTAAAAACGACGATTAAATCTATTTAGAAAATTTTTCCTAATTATTATTTAGTTCTAATTGTGCCCGTGTGTATTTTCAGAAATGATTTATTGGAGGACAATGGTGTTGTTCTGATTCATGATTGGGAAAGACGATCTTACCATAAGGTTTTAAGTCAAGGTATACACTGTAAAATAGACAGAGGGAGAAAGTCAAACTTATGCGACATTGCCGGGACAACTTTGAAACTTTTTAACTCCTCTAGTTTTGATTTGATTTTTTTCGAAATCCAAAATATTTTTGTTCATAAATGTTCACAGATTTAAAGGGACTGTAGAGACGTAATTTCAAGTTACTCTCCAATTATAGTGGTGGGTTCACAGCAAACTCCAGTATGCCGAGTCCATTAGCACCTGATCCAATCAGGGTTAAGTCATGTGTTTAATGTCTATTCTGAACCAATAGAAATAGTATGGCGGTAACATCTATCTTTCTATCTATCTCATTATCCAATCAGAGTTATGAATCCTTCAATCGGCGCTAACAGTGTAAATGGACATATTTACTTATACTGAAACTATGGTGCGGCACCCTTCAAAGCTTTGTCTGATTGAGTAATCGGAAGATATCCATCCTCTTTTCTTTGAAAATTGATTATTTTCAGTTGGCGTATTTCATAAAAAAATTAAAAGGAAATCTTAAACACTTTTCAGACTTAAAAATAGAAAATATCTTCCATATTATAATAATATTATGAAAAAGCTTAGAAGGGAACCATTCTTACTTGGTTAATAGAAATTACTAGAAATTACTAAAATTACAAATGCTTGAATCACAACACTCCTGAATGCCGAGTCCATTAGCGCCTGATCCAATCAGGGTTCATTTTATTTTAGATGTTTTCAGCATGCAGTAAACCATTAATTTAGAGAATATCTATTAAAATACAGAATATCTATTTGGAAGTCTAGTTCGAAGAGGGTTGGCTTTGTCTTTGCCCCTGCATTGAATAAAAAATATTAAAATTACGTGCAAAGCACATCACTACTGCTTTCCTATATTCAAATTATGAGCGTCAAAGTTTTCATGAAATCAATAATTTGGAAATTACTTTTATGTAATATACATGAAATATACGTTAGAAATATAGATTATATACATGTAGAAATATAGATTATATACATGTAGAAATATAAATTATAGTTAAATTATTATTTTCAGGTTTTAAAATATTGAAGGAAGAAAAAACATCTGCACGACATCTAGTGGCTTTACAAGTAGCAAAATAATTGACAAAAAAAATATTATATATCATCAAACAGCAGACTGCCCCTCTAGATGGTTTTTTTCTATGTTTAAATAATTGAATAACAACATAAAATACAGCAAAAAACATTGCCATATACTTTTAAACCGATTCATGCATTGTGAATATAATGGAAAAGTATTTTTTAATTGTAAAATTTTCGTCCGAACAGAAAATTTTAGTAAATATGTAAATTACAAAGCAGAAAGAGACCGTAAGCGTAATTCCGGAAATCATGTGACGTCATTGGCGCCAAATTTACAGTGTATACAGTATACTAAGCTCTACAGTGTACACTGTTGACTAGAGTTTTCCGCAACACAATTTTTATCTAGAAAAATAAAAATATCTTCGTCGTCGATGATCTGACAAAGGTTTAAAGGTTCCGTTTTGAACTCCTTAAATGTGGTTCACTTTAAATTACGTCTTTCTGCCTTGTAAGTTGTAAGGAATTCAGTCTTTTTGCCACAAACTTACATTTTTAATCCCTATACCTTTGCAACCTGACGATGTATATTATTATATTTTATTATATTACAAACTTAGATTATTTGATCTAACAGAATTCAAAATTTGAAATATCTAGGGTCTACGACATTGGGTTGCAAAGATATAAGGATTCGAAAGACAAAGTTTGTGAAAAAAAACTCAATTTCTTTGTATATATTTAATTAACAACTAATAGATTGAAAACTGCAGAAAATCAAATGAATTGGCTCAACTGTTTCTTTCAACTTGGGCGAAGATATTAATTTATTTTGATGATTTGTTAAGTCAATATATAGATCAAGTAAGTTAGGGGCCGAATTTAAAGAATTTGAGCCGCGGCTTAAATATGGTTGATTCTACTTAACATTGTAGTTAATGTTTAAAGATTTAAACCGGCGCTCAATTGAAACCGGTTTTTGGTGGATTTAAGACGCGGCTCAAATTCATTAAATTCGGACTATGCTTACTTACCGTGATAAAAAGTAATATTGGAATAACAATTATCTAAACTGTTCTTGTACATTGTTAATTTTTCGAACATGTTATCTATAATTTTTGTTGTAAAAAAAGTGTGAAAGTTGCTGTGCTAGTTTTAATTTAAAAAATTGTGATATCTTCATTTGTGATAAAGTTGTGATAAAAATGATGATAATAGTATTTATTAGTGCTACGAAAAGTGTTGGTCAAAGAAACATATGTTTTTTAAATGACAATAATCTAATGAACCAAAATAAACAGCACAAAGGCGCTTAAACTATAAAAACTTTTTTGTTATATCCTTTTTTCCCCTTTTAAATTTCATTTCCGTTGCCATTAAAAACGATATAAATCTTTATTAAGCAACAGTGCGATGAAAATAAAAATCANAAGAAAAACATAATGGTGGGCCCGCGTAAGCTATTACTTTTTTAGAGAAAGAAAAAAGTTGTCGGGTCTCTACCATCGATACTAAGACATATGTTGTCTAAGGATATTTTGATAATAAAATGTAAATAATTCAGTTTAAGTTGGGTTAGGCATAAAATTAACGATATGGAAAGTTAGTTTTTTTATGAACGTTTCTTTCCGTTCGTTTTTACTTAACAATTTACAAACTCCTTCCCTTCGTTTACGGAATTTTCCGTCAATTTTCAAAAAACTTTGATTCTGTATCGGAACTTTAATATAGTTTTAGTTTTAATCTCAATTTACAAAATTTTATGATACTTTAGAGTGAAAATTTTAAAATATTTACTTTAGTGGAATTATAATCCAATAAGCTAAATCAAAAATAAACCTGTATATCCAGTCTTCTAGTATAAATGGAATGCTTAAACTTCGTTTTAAAAACTGAAAATCAATATTTCGTTTCTAAAACATTATTCATAGACATTTATGTAAAATTTATTATTTCTAACTTTTTCAGTTTACATAGTAATACATATAGGTTTTATTATTACAGTACTTTAAACTTGTTGATACACACAAAGGCACCACTGAAAAATATTGGAAGGAGGAAGAGCAGGGAAAATTTTCTTTAAATTTATTGTTAGTTTTTTTTACGAAATCAAAATTTGTATTGATCTTTAACTAACAGATATAATAACAATTGAATAAAGTCGATAAAAGTTTATTGAAATATTTATTTTTCTCTCAGAACTTTTAAAGATGTAATCTCGATTGAAGCATTTTTTCCTAATTTTACAAACATATTAAGGTTTCTTAGATGTTAGTAACATGGCGATGATTGGGAAATTGAGCAAAATATTAATGTTATAATTATGACACGAAGCGTCTTGTTAGAAGAGATTCTGGGTAATAATTTCAATGTTGTAGTTTACAGAAATAATTTTAGGAAAAAAATGATAAATCCAAAGGAAAAAATAAAAATTAAATTTTCTCTTTTTATGGTAAAATCCTAGTATTTATATAATTGGATAAATAATTCTATAAAAACTTCATGATGAAATAACTCAGAATTGAGCTAATCAAATGATTGCGATTCGCATCTGATCCGAATTGTTCGAATCTGAGAACTGAAAATGCTATTTGAATATCATTTCACATGAGAACGCTAAACGTGATTGTTCGAAGTTTGTCTTCAGATTTTTAGCACTACTTCACCTACAAAGATTATTTTGATGTAAACCTTAACAATTTTTACATTTTGTTTAAAATTCATCAGTTTAGATTTTAACTAAGGTTTCCAACTATTTGAGGTTCTCCTTCGCCCCCCAGGTAGTATTCTGACCCGCCAAAATCGGTGCTTGCCAGGCGGGGATCCCGCCGGGGTAACGTGTAAGAGAGCGGTGTGCTTGTGATTCCAGGAACAACTGGTCCCAAGGGACTTCGGTTTGACCGGTCCAGTGTGGCATAGTCCCGTTCATGGTCAAACAGGTCCAGGGAACCATTGAAAAGTGAACGACGACTGCTCGGAACCATCGGTAGTTTGCTAATGGTAGCATAAGCATTACTCTGGGTCTCTATTTGACTCTGAGAAACACTACCCCGTCTGAAAATATGTAAAGCTAAAAATTCCAGGTAAAAAAACAGGTTTGAAAAAAGTGCTAATTTCAAAAACCTGAAAATGTGCAAATAAGCTTAGAATAAGTTAATGTGCAAAAAATCCAAACCATCAAATTGCAAAAGTGCAAGAAGTAAATCATGATGTGTCTCTGCAAAATATCCATGTTAAACAGTTTTTAAACCCAACTAGAAGGGAACAAAGGAATTGATTATTTGCCCTAAAAATCTGATTTCTAAGCCCTCTTATTTTGCAACTCAATGTAGCATACCATGAATTCTGTTGGATCAAGTAATTCAATTTTTATATTAAAGGTCTACTCCATCAGGTTGCAAAGATATATGGATTTTAAATTATGAGTTTGTGGCAAAGACTTCAAGTTTAGATGCCTACCTTGAATTTCCACTGCCATTGTTTCCACTGATAACACTGTTTTCCTGATCACTTAGTACTGTCATAGTTAGCTCCTGCTCTTCATACGCTTTATACTTCTGATCTATCCACAGAGGGTTATCCGTCCCTCCCATGGGAGCATCGTCAATAACGGAACCAGGTTTTAAGGGTCGAGGAGAATCTCCTCCACGTAGTTTCTGAGGTTTGTTTGTAAACACCCAGTATTTCAGGCAGCAGGAGACTACAGCAAAGGTGATTAAACCCACGAAGAGAACTATTAACAGTGCTAGGAAGGCGATTACGTTGGAGTCAAAGACAACCTTTTCCTCTTTGACCTCGGCAGGAAGAACCTGACGTATTCCGACCTCATCGTAGTAAACAGCCAGGTGGTCGTAGTTAGAGTCTACGGATTTTACAAACACCTCAGGATCAATTATAGTGTTGGAGTAGGAGTCAACAACATGAATAAACATATCAGACATGTCTCGTCGTAAACCTTCGGAAGGGCTCACATGATACCGGATATCGTCAATGACGACAATGTTATCAGTGACGTTTCTCAGCTCTTTAATGATGTTCTCCTTGTTGGCATCCACGTGCATGGGATCCTTGTTTAAGACAAGCTTGATCTGTTGGTTTGGTTCGTAGATCCATAGGTAGATGGTAGCTCGAGCTATATGACCAGAACTATGCTCCCTTGCTTCTATATTTATCTCAAACCTGGGTAATAACAATAAATTAAAAACACATTTAAACATGAGTTGGTTGTATTCTGCCATGAGTGAATCTAGAAGTATCCTACTCCCTCCCTCATTAATCTTGAATGGTGAGGGGACGAGGGACCCGGCAGAAATGGACTCCCCCTGGCGGAATAAGTTGGAGGATTTGATGGAGTAGCTGACATCTCCATTGTCCATGTCTGGGTCAAATGCTGTAGCGTCCATTATAAGATCACCTACCCCCGCGTTATAAGGAACCCCCACGTAGTATTTGTCACTGCTGAACTGCAGCATATTGTCATTGATATCTTGAATAGTTATGTCAATTTCAATAATTGAATCATCATTAACGTCGTCATCAGTCATTTTAATATCGCAGTACGTAGCTTCGCAAACTATGCCGGGATTATTAGAAGCCTTGACAAGAAGAGTATATTCATCCCGCTCCTCACGATCTAGTTTTTGCTTGGTGTAAAGGGTACCTTGAGTCTTATCAATTCTGAACCAGGATCCTTCATTACCGCTCAGGATATAGTAGAAGATACGACCAAACTGTCCTGCATCGGGATCCAAGGCCTCAACACGTCCTACAAAGTATCCAGGTTCTTCTTCTTCAGGGACAGTGAACTTGATCACGCTGTTCCCAACAGACATCGGGAACAAAGGTAGGTTATCATCTATGTCCTCTACTACAATGTTCAGGAACCTCAAGGTTTCAAATGCGACCGGGGTTCCATGATCTTTAGCTATGATGACAAGTTCATAATTATCCTGCAACTCTCGATCCAGTTTTACTTTTGATCTAATTTCTCCTGTTCTCTCGTCAATTTTAAACTCAGGAGTTTCAAGAACATTTTCATTCTTTATCTTAAAATAATATCCAACTCTTCCATTTTCATTTTCTTCTCCATCTTGATCAACTGCTTGGACAGTTTTGATAACAACTCCAATCATTTCTGTCTCCTCTTTGATTGATACCGTCTCATTAGGAGGAGGGGCAGGGTTCCATCTAGGCTTGTAAGTGTTTACACTCTCTACTTGTACAGTTACCCTTGCCTGGTCAGGACCCTCCCATTCACCTTCTCCCTCCTCATCAGTAACCTCAACCACCAGGATAAACTCCTTTCCTTTCTGTCCGAGGAAACTGGCGTTGGGGTAGAGCACTCCAGTAACATTATCAATACGGAATAATCCTTCTGAGTTACCTTCGGCCAGATAGTAGAATAGTCTACTGTTTAATCCAATATCATCATCTGTAGCCAACACTTGGGCGATAGGTGATGCCTCTGGGAAATATGGAATATTATCTACAATAGTTGCTCTGTAATTCTTCTCAACAAAGATGGGAGGATTATCGTTGACGTCTGTTATTGTGATGTTTACGGGAACCGTTGATGATCGTCTTGATTCTGGTGGGCCTGAATCTTCAGAAACAACCTAGAATGAAGGTTTTGATAATTCAAGTCATGATGAGAAAATAACACTATAACATTAGAGAGCCATTAATGTCAAAGGAGGGGGGGCTTATAATTTTGCTTTTATATGAAACATTGATTTCTTTTAAAATGTTCATATTAAATCTATCAATAATTTTAAGAGCGGATTCAATGACTGAACCAAAGTAATTGAGTCTTTGCCTCAAACTCTGACTTTCTAATCCATATATATCTGCAAACTAATGACCTCAGATATTTGCTAGAATAATCAGAAATGAGGATCAGAAATATCAGGGTGCAATGATATAAAGATTAGACTAGAAAATTTGAATTAGTGGCCAGAACTCAGCTCTTTTAGTCATTAATTGAAATAAAATAAAAAATACTAGTTCATGGGTTTCATACCATTTTTGTACACCCTTAAACAATTATAATTCTTGTATGCCCTTTCATTCAATGTGATAATAAACCCGAAAATATCATTTATTCATTTTATTTAGGTATAAATAAAAACTAATCTTTTTTATTTAAATATTAAGTTTATCTGACCTGAATAATAAGATGCTCAATTTTCTCCCTATTGAGTAGCTCTGGATTAACAACACTGATAGTTCCTCCTTCAGGTTCAATTGAGAAATCATCTTTGTAAGTTCCTTCTAGTCTATAGGTAACCTTACCATACTCTCCCTCATCCAGATCCTTAGCAGAAACTGTTACAATAGGTGTTCCTTGCTCAGCATTCTCTGCAACACTTGCAGTATACATCTGCTGATCAAAGATCGGAGACTGATCGTTCACGTTGTTAATGTTTACAATAACAACTGCATCTGCACTTTTCTCAGGAATACCTGCATCAAACACAAGGAGGTCAAAGGTTAATCTTTTCTCCTTAAACTCCTCGTAATCAAGAACCTGCTTCAGCATCAGCTTCCCGGTTCCCTTGATCAGGCCGAAGTACTCGTTCTCGGGGGTGATCTCAAACCGGGCAATGTTGGAGTCCTTGTCGGTGGCAGTAAAGGTGTGAACGATGGTTCCAACAGCTTGCTCCTCCTGGACGTCCACGTTGATGAACTTGAGCTCTGGGGTCCAGGGTGGGGAGAACTCTGGAGCAAAATCGTTTACATCAATGATGGTTAGAACAAGGTTTCCTATTCCATCCTGAGGAGGGTCAGCAGTAGTATCCGTTACCTTAACACTAAGACTGATAACTGCTACAGAGTTCCTATCTAGCTCCTGATCAAGGAAAACTGCTCCTGTAGCTGGATCTACCCGGAGTATACTAGCAAACCTCTCCTGATTCTCCAGAGGAACTCCGTCCTTGTCCACTGCTGTGATGGGGTCCGTGATGGAGTAGGTCAGAGCATTGATGTCCTTTATGTCCTCGTCAATGGCATTAAGTCTGAATATGTTTGTCCCAGGGGCGGTATCTTCAGTTATCTAACAAAGAAATATAAACTTTAATTTCAGTACTAATAATTTATGTATAATATTAGTTTTACTTAGACCTGATCAACATTTTATTCAGATTTTTTGCCTCTGCATTTATAAAAGTGACTTGTGGATTTTGCAGCAGATTTGAGCTATCATTTATATATTTATAAAGGCTAATTATACCCGAGAAAGTTGACACTGGCGTTCTTTAAAAAAATAATAACTTCCAAGGGTTAAATGCTTAAAAGTACATATGATGCTTGGTTACCTGTACGCGCTGTGTATACGGAAGGAAGTATGGAAGCTTGTTGTTCCTGTTCATAACATCAACTTTCAGTACAGTGGTCCCTAAAAATATCAATAATATACTTACTTCAATTAAGATTAGCTTCTGAAAATGTATGACGATTCTGCACTGTCAAAAAGGAATAATGAAAAAAAATATTCTATTTTTTAATTAAAAAATGTGGCACAAATTCTGTAATGTTTAAGTGACCCTCCATGCAAAGATGACAATGCCCAATTCACAACGGTACCCTTGAAACCTTTATCTGATCAATAATGGGGAAGATGCTTTTTTCTAGGTTTGAAAGTATTTAGTTAGTAGTTTACTTTTTTCTTACAGTAGAATTGTGCAATTCACTTTTGTAGAGAAACCACAAATAAAAATAATCTGTTTTCAAAATTATAAACATAGATATCTATTTCATGCTTGATCAAATCTTTTTTTGGGGGTGGGAATCGTGAATTGACCTATTTGTATGGAGGGTCACTTTAAATTACGCACTTTGATATTCTTTACGCGAGTCTTATAACATATCCTTGTATTGTTTGAAAAGAGGGATGTATAATATAATCGATCAATTCGTTTAAAATATCTTTGGGCAGCTAAAGTAATCAATTTCTTATATAAAAGAGATCCTTAATGGAGCGGGTCTAGGGGAGGGGGGGGGGGCGCTTTAGACGTACGTTAGTCATATGTCCTAAAATACAAGGTTAAACAATATTTGCATTAATTTTCAAGGTTAACCCCAAAACCCAAAAAAATAAAAAAATAAGTTTTTTTTCGTTTTTCGATTTTTTTCTTTAAATTCTTAAAACAACCCGTGGAATAAGGACATAAGGTGCTCAGGGGTATTGTATGAGGGGTGAGAGTTAACGTGGATAAAAAAGGGTTTGGTGGGTGATTACTTTTAATAAATCAATGTAATAGCTACGTCAAAATTATATCCATCATGCTCCAACTAATTTCATTCAATTCATGTCAAGCAGGATTTTAACTCAAACTAATATTTTTTCAGAAAGATGAGGGGGGGGTCAAAGGAGAGGCTTTTGTGTTGTTTTTATGATTTTTTGCATCATACAGAAAAAAACAAACAATTTTATTAGTTTTAAACCAAGATTTTCGTTTAATCAAATACTAAAAAGTGTTTCATAAACCGGTTTAGTGGGACTAAAATCCCATTATTTTGGATAAAAATTGAAACACAGTTGTGAACATTAAAGTTCATTTTAAAGTTTTATAATTTAATAAAATTTCCCCCTCCCCCTCTCTTCAAACTTCAAACCATTAACTATTTGGTCGTTTAACGCTATATGTTGGTCATCATGCTAACATTTATTGTGAAGAGTTATGACATAATTATGGGCTACAGGGTGTCCATATAAACATAATAATGCTGAAAATTTTATTCTTGTTTACTCACAAAACATTGAATTACAAATTGCTAGATTTATTGCATTTTTTAATTTCCAAAAATTATTGAGGCGGAATTTTTTATTTTAAATTGATTATTTGAAAAGGAAAAGAGCAGGGACTTTTTGAATAGACAGATGATTTAAGCTTATTCGCTCCTTCTGGGAAAATAAAATATTGGTCAACAGTTTTCCGATTTAACCAATAAAAGATCTGTTAATCTGAATGAAAAAGTTTCAAAAGTTTCAAGCTCGGAAAAAGTTCTTAAGTTTTTATTTTTTATTTATAAAGATTTTGAATAAGTTTCGCGTAAATGAAAGGCGACTAAAGATAAGGGTTTAAAAATAAGACACTGAAATCTATATAAATAGTAATTGAGGATGTATTATAGTCTTACTGCATGCGGACAATACCTCATTTAGAAGTTTGTTAAATATTTTCAATATTTTTCTTTTCAAATATTATTACGAACAATTTATTATATGAAATGAAGGTTTACAACACAAATATCGTTATTTAATGGAAGAAATCAAATTCCTGATTGTAACCAGGGAGTCTCAGATCATGTACAGGATGTTCCAATAAACATGGAGATTGAGTGATGAAGAGTTTATAATCGTATTTTATCAGAAAATAATTAGATTGGATCGAGTGTATGAAAATATTGTATGTCGCCTGGACTTTCCAAATTGTGGTCAACCGTCTCTGTAACGTAAAAAATAAGAAGATATTTAAAAACTTAGATATTTTCATTTTATCAAATTGAAATTAAATTAAACTAGAACAATTTTGAATAAACAAAGCGGGCAGACAACATTATGTAGATCCCGGAGGTTATATGGAGGAATAGGGTCTTTTGAACATGTTTCTTTATGATAAAATGTAAGAATAAATGTCGTCAGGATCGAAGACGATTTGAAAGTCGTCACGTAAATCCCATGTTTAATGTTTATTGGGAAACCCTGTATTTCAAATATAGATATTTGTTAAAACCATCAAGATACAAGAATTTCATTCAGCAAAGGAATTGAGTTTTTCTCAAAAACTTATATTTTTAAATCTCTATATCTTTGGAACCTGATGGAGTAAACCGTTGATATTTCAAACTTAGATTATTTGATCTAACTGCAGTATACTTATTTGAAATAAATACGGTCAAAGACATATGAGTTGCAAAGATATAGGGATTGGAAAATCAGAGTTTGTGGCAAAGACTCAATTCCTTTCAAGGCATGAACAAATTTTGAAAAGACAAAATTTGTGAGTTGTGGTCCTAGGAGAAGGGGTATTATAACTGTACAGTTTTGAATAAGTATATACTATATAATTAGCAGGTTTGATAGTTGAACTAGGCCGAAAACTGTAAAATATTTGTTTTGTCCAAAACCTGGTTAAAATCCATTTTTAATTATACCTGTTCATTTTACGCGAGTGGAAATTTAAATCTGAATTTTCAATTAGCTAAATAATCTAATTCTTCTGAAATATTAAAATTAGTTTTTTTCAACATTGTTTCCTTTAAAACTATATAAATTTAATTCTACAAAATTTTTTATATAAAACTATACTCTTTTAATCTGTTATTGTATAAGCTGGTATTTTTGATTGTATCTATATATATTATGTTGATACAATAAAAACTCAAATCATGTGTTAAATAGTTCTTTTCTTAAATATATCTATAACTTTGCTTGTCTGTCTGGGTGTCTGTTTGTTTGTATAAAAAAATGTCAAAACGTCTGAAGCGATCTGGTCCAAATTTGTGTGGGACATCATGTGACCCCAGGGAAGGTTTATTGATGATCAAAAGTTCAAAAATTTGCCTCAACAAAATTCGATTTCTAATAAATTTTCAAAATCCACGAACTTTTTTTTTAAAATTCGCACCCTTTCTTACGTTTTTGTTTTACAATGTATACAAAGACAACATGTTCACAATTGAAATAATAGAAAAGCGCGAAGCGCCCTAAAAGCCTAGTCTTATATAAATAAGCCATTTATGTTTGCGTACGTGTGCTGTTCATCCACAATTGTAATATTTTGTTAATTCGTAGACGTGTCAATTTTATTATTGAAAATAGTATACATATAATGTAAACAAATATTTTTTTTGAATGCTTCAATCGTGAAATATTCCGGTCGTCCTGATAGCAATCTTAAAAAGCGGCCAGACCTATAGTTCTTACAGTGTAAAGATCCTATCACATAATAACCCCACGAACACGGTAAGTTTAATGAAAAATAAATCTGCAAAAACTTAACAAAAAAGTGCTAATATACAGTTTGGCGAAGCTACTTAAAAATGTTCTACAAAAAACACCTCGCACATTATTTTGCACCACAAAACGGTTTTTATATTTTTGCATCGTAAATATTTTTTTTTGCCGGGATTGGAAGGTTAAAGTGCGCAAATGTTTTAGATGATTCAATATGCTAACTAAAATTGAGTTATTTAAGGTATAGCAGTCATTAAAGGAGCAAAAGGTCATAACAATGGGGGTGGGGGCGGGCAGGGTAGGGTGTAGAGGTTGGGGTTGAGGGTAGATGGGTTTTGGGGGCTAGGGCCTATAGGTCGGATAAGGACTAAAAATGTCAAGTTTAGAATGATCTTTGATCTCATGATACTTTGTTCTTGAACGGCAAAACTGTCAATATATTAATAAAGATGATATTGGGAACTCTTCTATTGTGGATATAAATCCTTGATCTCGATCTTTTGTTAATCTGCAGATTAACTTATTCTTTACTCGAAATGTTTTTAATCTTTTTCCTTGCATATTTAGTTCAGGAAATCAAGTTCACTTATTAGAATTTTAATTAATAATTAAAGAATTTGATTAATTATTAAAGAATTTATAAATAATTAAAGAATTTTAGATTGTGCACAGAGTCTCATTATATATTGGGATCTCTGCATAAAAACATGGACTATTAGCGAAAAAAAAAACTATAATTATTCATCCTGTAGATTTTTTTTTCATTTTCAATTGCTTCATTCAAACAGGTCCAATTAAGATCTTAAATGCAGATTGCAGACAGGGATAGGTTTTTAAAAAAATCTTAGTAATATTTAAAAATTTATGACAATTTTCAATTTTTCCATTTTTCCATGTTTTTAAAGTTTCGAATAAATATTTCCCCTGTATTATTTAGAAATAAGTGCAATCATGGATCTGGGTCAGATTGCGAACTGTTTTCAATGCAGTTTTTTTTTACATCGCCGATTATTTACTTTCAACAAATTTAAATGCAAATTTCAGGGATAAATATTAACGCACGCAATTCAAAGTTGAAAATAAATCAAATTTAAACGAATAAAGCTATTCTAAATTTTTTTTCCTAAAACAAAATGATAATTTGAAAGGTCCCCTGTATTTATTAATGAATGGTTTAATTTTCAAAGAAGCGAAGGGTCTATTAAATAAAGTTTAAATCCAAAATAAATAAACAATATTTGAAAAAAATATGCATAAAAGGGAGGAAGGTTTTTATAACCATAAAAATGCAATAAAAATACCTTGCAATTTAGAAATACATTCAAAGTTCAAATACGACCGAGCATTGATAATAGTCTTCAGACATTACGACAATTATAATTCTGATTTGTGTCAGAATCTATACATGGAAAACTTTTTACTAAGCTTTAAATTGTAAGAAAGTGTGCTTTACATTGCAATAAATTTATTGCAAACGTATATTTTGAAAAAGTCTCAAAATTTTTTAAAACCTCTCTTTGCAAATTTTGTATAAAGGGACTGTCCTTGTTATTTCAAGTATCCACTATCCCTCCATTTCAAAAAGTGGAGTATGCTAGATTGACTAAGGTACCCTTTCTTTATCCGGTCAATAATGTAGAAATTACTGTCGTTAAATTCTGACAATCAATTACATGTTTTTCTGTAATGAAAAATAATTAAATTTCAAACAGAGAAACATGGATAGCTCATTTATTCTTGATCATACGAAGCTTTAAATGGTACCGTTGTGAATTGGACATGTTACCTTATGATGAAGTGTCACTTGAACTTACGTTTACAATCCCTTTAATTTACGTTTACAATCCCTTTAGTTTACGTTTACAATCTACGTTTACAATCCCTTTAGTTTACGTTTACAATCCCTTTAATTTACGTTTACAATCCCTTTAGTTTACGTTTACAATCCCTTTAATTTACGTTTACAATCCCTTTAATTTACGTTTACAATCCCTTTAATTTACGTCTACAATCCCTTTAATTTACGTTTACAATCCCTTTAATTTACGTTTACAATCCCTTTAATTTTGAAGTTATGAAAAGTTTGCTTGTCGTGACCATTAAATAATTTAGATCTATTCAGCCGATATCTAAACAATACGTACTTCAGTTTAAACCATTCCCTAAATCATATTCTGCTTTTCAAGGGACTAATCACGAATTTAGATCTATTCAGTCGATGTTTAAACAATACGTACTTCAGTATAAACCATTCCCTAAATCATATTCTGCTTTTCAAGGGACTAAACACGAATTTAGATCTATTCAGCCGATGTTTAAACAATACATACTTCAGTATAAAACATTCCCCTAAATCATATTCTGCTTTTCAAGGGACTAATCACGAATTTGAAGATCTCACTTTGTAGTGAAAATTATTCTAATGATTATGGTTTCAATTTAGATTCCTATAAAATACAAAAAAAAATGCTCAAACGTTTAGAAATTTAAAAGATATAAATTTAAGAATTTTACTTTTCTGTAAGTTGTTTTGGTTTTTATTGAGTTTGTTTACGTCGCTTACCATGTTATTAACCCTATTCCTGCTGGGGGGAGGGGGTCAATTTGACCCCCCCCTGTAGTTTTTTTTTACATAACTCAAAAAGTATTGGTCTGAGACTGTTGAAATTTTCTGACTTTTCTTACATACCCAAAGCCCTCCCTTTAGGCCTAACACCGGGCTTTAATACTAACTGCCTGAGTCCTCAGGCACACTGCCTGAATGACTGCTTTTGCCTGTAACAAACTAAATCTTTGTTTTGACCCACTTTCACTTGTCAGATTTTGAAAAAAATAGCTTTTTGGAAAGCCTATGACATAAGGAAACGGATTGCACAAGTTTTGCGAAAAAATTGCATTTTTTTTGCAAACAACCTGTCAAAGGAAATTTGCACATTTTTAGTTTTTCTTGATTAAAAATCAGGTTATTTAAAATTTTGCAAAAATTTTTGCATATTTGAAATGGCATGGTAAAGGGCTTTTCAAAAATGTATAATTTTTAATTTTTTGGAAAATTTTTTTTTTGCAAACATTTTTACTTTATAACTGGATTTTGCGATAAAAAATTCAATTTTTGCAAATTTGCAAATTTTTTTTGCAGATTCTAAAAGTAGAGCACAAGAGCTTTCCAATGATGTATCATTTGTCATATTTGGACATAAAACATGGGATTTAGAGGGGGGGGTGTCAAATTGACCCCCCCCCCAGCATATCCTGGTTTTCAAGTAGCCCAGCAGGGATAGGGTTAAATGAAAAAGGTGTCAATTTTTGTACGAGCTTTGAACGTTTGGTTTTATTTTGAAACAGCAAACAGTCCCTTTAGCGATGACGGGTTATTAATATATTGTAATGAGTTCACTAACCTGTTAAAGAAGGTTCCCCGCCATCGAATGCTGCGATCTCGATGAGATATTGACTTCGAGTATCGAAATCTAATTCTCCAGAAAGTCGAACCTCGCCAGTTTTAGGATCGATTGAAAAATCATCATATGCCCCTGAAAATGATGAAATCTGTTGAGCAAATTATCAAATAATAGAAACCTATTTTTTAACTTTTCGTGAGCTCTACAGTTTACTTCGTCTATTACTGTCTGAACATTTATAAATATAACTATTTAATTCATCATGTCTCATTCCCTAAACCAACAAATGTATTCTAGAGGTAAGGGGGGGGATATGTGTTTTCATATACATTTTACAAAAAATTGTTAAAAAAGTCAAAATTTTTAAAATTATCTTCGTTTTTTTCTAACAGTTCTAGATCCCCTAAAGTAATGTTATCTATTTTAGGACTTCTAGGATACTGTGATGTATACCTTGTTGTATCCTGTATGTTATCTCTGCGTTGACCCCAAAGTCCGCATCTGTAGCTTTGACCTGCTCCACCAGTATTCCAGGTACAGTATCTTCAGGCACTGTAGCCATGTACTCAGGCTTTTCAAAGGTTGGATATCTACAAATATGATTTAAAGGGATTGTTCATCGAATAAAAAAAGAGCTTTTATTTTGACCGATTAGAAGTTAATTGGCCTTATTTATACATTGTAAAAGAAAATAGGACAATAAAAAAATTGAGATAATAAAAGTATCAAAAAATCTAAACATGGATTTACGAATAGCCTTTTTAACTGTGACAAATTGAATTAATTATAAAAAACTCTAGCTCTTTACATAATCAATATTCAAAAGACAAATAAAAAATAAAAACATGTTTGTATTCTAAAGACAAACTCATTATAAATATTCATTCCACATTAAAAGCATGTCAAAAAGATGACTGACCTGTCATTGACATCCTTGACTGAGACACTGACCGTCGTATAATCTGTATTTTCTCCGTCAGTGACCTCTACACTGAGATTAATCTGATCAGTTGGGATATTATCCAGTCTTAAACCTTTCTCAGAACTCACAGACACCATACCCGTCTTAGGATCTATCTTAAACAGATCGTTTAGGTTCCCGTCCACGATCGTATACCGCAGTTTCGAGGTAGCATCGAGATCGGTCGCTTTAACGATCAGCTCAGGCTGAAAGGCCGCCTCGTTCTCATCGATGTTTGCAGAGTACTCCTTGCTTTCGAACACTGGGGGGTTGTCATTTGAGTCCTTGAGGGAGATTCGAATGTTGACGAGGCTTTTCCGCCCCTCTCCGCCCATATCTGTGGCGGAATAGGAGAGAAAATAGATCCTGAAACCGATTATTGTAACAACAAAACTATTCTGGCCATTTTTTAAATATAGAGAATTACAATGAAAGTAAAAATTATATTTTTAGCCATTTTAAAGGGTTACACAAAATTTCCTGGTTTGTTCATAGTCTAAACAGGCCCCTGAGCCGGGAGTTGAACACGGAGCTACGGAGATCAAGCCGGTTTCAGGATTGACAGAGAAGAGTTCAGCTCCGTTACCCGCCAGCTGGTAGCGGAGACCAGCTGTACCAAACTCACCAGAATCTTGGTCTTTAGCTGTCACAGATATCACAGGAGATCCTACGTAGTTAGATAAAAAGATAGATATCGATAAAGATAGATAGATAGACCAAGGGTGTAGTGTGGGGTATTCAAAACCGGAGGGTTGAGGGTTGGATGCAAAGTGGGAGGGCCTGAAAAGGACAAAATATTTTAGCCATTCCTGGAATACCAAGACATCGTTGTGTAAAAACCTTTCAGTCAATTAGCAGAACTCAATATATATTCAATATGTACATTGAACCCCCTGCCCCCCCCCCTCCCCATCTCCTTTCCTACATTTTTCGCGCCCCCTTCCAATTCTACCCCTCTCTTGGATTTTCCTTGTAAACCCATGTAAAAATACATTCTTCATTTGCCAATTATCAACTCTAAATTGTATCTCCTCTTTTCCTTATTTTATGATATGTCTACTTCTACAAGAATCTACCCTCCTCCCCCCCCCTTTAAACATCTAAGTTATGTATATTGTTTTTTTTTCTTTCATACTGAAGATTGAAGTTGATTTTATCCTGCTGGATCTTTTTGTTTCTAAAATTCTGGTTTGTTCTCTCTAGTCCCTTGGCTCCAATAATGAATGTTAGTTTAAAGACGTTATCTCTCTCAGACTACTTCAATATAATGGTTTGTGACCCTCATATTTTACAAAAAAAAGGTTCAATATTTTTCTTTTTAAGAAAAAAAATGAAAAAATAATACAAATATAATTTAAAGTGTGAATAAAAACTAAGATCAAGGAAAGTCAAATAAAATAAAAATAAAAACATTTTCCAAAATATTTTCCCAATTTTTCAAACCAAAAACAATTCTTGACGTGCTTGGCAATTGTGTTTGAACACTGACGCTATCCTAACCTTTTAATTTTAACTTTAAATTACTTCGGATAAAAAGCTAAAGGTTTTTACACTGTAAAAGATTTTACACGATTTTTTTAAACTTTTGCTAAAAAACAGGATAAAGGTTGTTAAGATTTCGGTAATATATAGATATGGTTATTGATGGAAAATGGCCATGGATGGGGGTTGGGGGGTTGGGGTGATAAAGATATGTATGCGCAAAATCCAGAAAATTTTGACAAAATTCAAATTTCATGGAAAATTTAAATTTTGGGGTAATATTGAGTTTTATAGAGGTTTTTGTCTGTTCACATAGACGTAAATACACAGCTGGATAGGATATTCTACTATGTAGTTTTGCATTTATTAAAGATAGATGAATAGATAGATAGATAGATACACAGAAAGTTAGAAAAATAGATAGATAGATAGAAAAATGTATAGATAAATAAATAGTGAGATTCTGAAATGTATTAAAATGTTTGATTTCCAGCTGATTCTTTAAAAATTCTTTAAAGAGATAATAAATGGATAGATAGATAGATAGATACAAAAGATAAATAGCGGATGGTTTTCCTTTTTGCGGTTTGCGAATTATTAACAATGGTATTATTACTTTTTAATTTAGAAAATTCACACAAAAAAAGTGAATTTCTCCATAAATTATTTAAATATTCAAAACAAAAATAGAGAGATAGATAGAAAGATATAAATATAGATCATACTAATAAAGATAGTCTTGGGTTCAAACAATTAAAACTGTGTGCAGTGGATGTCGAAAAATGTTAAATATTGACTGTTCAATGGATAAAATATATCTTTACCTGGCATTAAAGTCTCTGAAATGTCGACTGTAAAAGATTCTCGTTGAAAAACTGGATTATTGTCGTTTATATCTTCTATCTCAACCAATACAGTTGCAGTACTGTTTAACTTCTCCTGTTTACATCAATAAAAACTAAATATTTCAATATTTAAAGAGAATAAGAAAACTGAAAACAATATTGCAATATTTAAATAAAATAAATAAAAACAAAAACAAAATTGCAATATTTAAATAAAATAAATAAAAACAAAAACAAAATTGCAATATGGCAAGAAATCCATGAACTGAGGGATTGTAAATGTGGTGCACAAGAAACCACTTTCACCCACCACCAATATTTAGTTCTTGCTTCTACAATGAAAAGGGTTTGAACATTGTTTTTACTCCCAGAAAAATTGAAACCTATGAAAATTTAAACCCACGAGGGATTCAATGATAAACCCAAGGGCGTCTGAGAGTAAATGACATACTTAGTTTAACCAGCTTTTTGTAAAGAAATGCGAAATTATTAGATCTGGATCGAGAGAGGAGAGAATAAATTCAAGATACAATTTAAGATAAGATAAATATAAGATGAATGATATAAAAAGACAAAGAAGAAAGGAACGGAAAAACATGATATGTTGATGATGTGCATATTTCTCAATAAGAAAAGTAAGACAAACTTTAACTTCTAAACCNCCCCCCCACCCTTCCCTTTGCATGTGTTGAAATGTAGGAAATATTAATTTCATATTTAGGTGTTGGGACATTTCATAGAAAGACATTTCATATATTGCAATTTTACAGGGACATTTCATGGACAGAACATTTCAAAGAAGTACGTTTCATAGAGTGGACATTTCATAGGTAGGAGATTTCAAAGACAGGACACTTCTTAGAAAAAGAAATTTATAGATAGTACATTTCATATAAGGACATTTTATAGATGGACATTACATAGATAGGACATTACATAGATAGGACATTACATAGATAGGACATTACATAGATATGACATTTCAAAGATAGGACATATATAGATGTGCATTTTATAGTTAGGACAATTCATAGAAAACTAAATTCATTGACAGGACATTTCAGAGAAAAATAAATTCATTGACAGGACATTTCAGAGAAGAATAAATTCATTGACAGGACATTTTATGGAAACATAAATTCAGGGACAGGACATTTCATAGAATTTTCAGAGAGTGCTAATTGTGTGTGGGTTTGTGTGTGCGTTCTGTTGTCTGTTTGCCCTCTGCGCTTTGGTGTGCAAATGGTGTGTTTGTGTTCGTGTTGTATGTGTGTCTGTGTGCAGTAGTGCCCGCATACCAAGACTAATTAAGATCTGTTCAGGATAAAAATCTTTTCTTAATAACTCTGCCAGCGCGCATTTAATAATCTCAGTGCGCGCCTTCTGATGCGCATCATGAGCAAATATGGTCTTCAAACTCGAAGTATTCATTAAGTTTTGTTTCAGGGATAATTAATTGTCATAATACATAAAATTATGATTGTATTACGCATAAAGTGTCATTTTTTGCGTAACATTAGCTAGAACTTTCTATAAGTACGAACCACAGTTTCCAAATATAGTGTCTCGCAAAATTTTGTAATTATTTTTTGCCACGACTTTGCATAGAGCACAGTGGTGTGCATATAACCTTGCTCGCTCAACCCCTGAGATTAATTTATGCCCTGGAAAATTGAAAACAATTAAATATATTTGATAATCTAGAATTTAATAACATTGTCCATGGATATCTATTTTATGCATTATTATAAGACAAAGTCTTGAAGGGTTCTCACGTGAATCAGACATGTTTTCTATCAATGGACATTCACTTCAAATGACGTCTAGGACATTCACTTCAAATGAAGTCTAGGACNATGGATACAACCACTCCCCGTTTATGAAGCTACCATCCCTCTCTTTTCATGGATCCAATCGATCCCCATTTTAGGAGCTCCATCCCCCTCCAATTCAGGAATCCAATCCCTTCCTGTGTATGGAGCCCTCCTCTCGCATTTATATATTCAGTTTAGAGCAAATCAACTTTCCATTCATGCCCCTCCCCCTCCCCTTTTAAATACCAAAAAAAAAGTCTAATGCATCATGTTGAAACATGTAATGAACATGATTATCCGCAAATTGAAATAACCAAGTACCAAATAACCTCATTGCTTCCATTATAACTTAACACCACTTTAACCTTTTTGTAAACTTCAATACTACCCAAAATATACCAGTATGGCCACTGTATGACCGTATGACCGCTATTACCTGGCTGTTAACTTTAATGCTGACAGCTGTATGACCGTACGAGCGCTATTACCTGGCTGTTAACTTTAATACTAACAGCTGTATGACCGTATGACCGCTATTACCTGGCTGTTAACTTTAATACTGACAGCTGTATGACCGGCAGCTCTGACCGGATCTATACTAAACTTCCCGCTAGGATCTTCGAGCCTGAAAGAAGTTTTTTATTAATTTTTTAGCTAAAAACATTTTAATCTTTTTAAATGATATAATTATGTATTTTTTTTCCACAATTTTGTACTTAATTATGATACCTTTTTCAATGAAAATAAAAAAATGTATAACTTCACTCTTTGATACATGTGCTTGTTTTGTTGCTATAACTTTAGTTCAAAGTTTAATAAAAACTTGAATTATATATATACTTCTGATCTTCAAATGATCTGCGTCGTTGACACAAATGACTCTTAAATGAATTCATAAGATAAGTATCTATCAAAGTGTTATGATACTATAAAACAAATTTCGATATTATATCAAAGTTTTATAATATTTTTTCAAATTTTAAGAGATTCTATCAAACAGTTTAATGAGATTCTCTCATATTAAAATTTCTTCAAATTTAATCAGAGTTTAGATAGATCGAACACAACGATAGAGACCTGAGACTGAAGAGTGAGTTAGCTCCTGTATCCGGATCTTTAACCTCCATATTCAGGTTTGCCAGGGGAGTTCCAAACGGAACATTTTCAGGAATAGAAACCCTAAACAAAACAATTTACAACAACAACATTACCCAAGAAATATATAGACCAGGAACCGCCATATCTCATGCGACATATCCGTGTACTGCAGTGGGAGGAGATCAAAACAAAGAATTCAGGGGCAACGCATCATCTTTGAAGGAAAAGGGCCCAAGGGGTGGAATAAAACATATTGCTATAGGTATTTTCCATATTGACCAGAAAGCCAAAAATCATATGTAATCGCTCTAACTTGATATATTAACTTGTTTTTTGTTGGACTGTAATATCACATCAGAGCTGTAGTCCTTTCCCTTTAACTTCTGTGGGGGCACTGGGTTTGTTAGCATTCCTCCCACAGTGTACACTAGACAATTTGCGTATATCTGAGTTGGGCGTTCCTGTACTATTGTTCCTTGGCATTACCTTCCTCATATGTAGAATATAATTTTGTTCAGACTTTATAACAAAAATTTGTTAGATACATTAATTTTAAAGAGTTTTGAAATTGTCTTAACATGCAAGGTGCAAAAATATGTTTAAATTAGCAACCAACTTGTCTTTAAATACCGAAATCATTATAGAAACCCTAAACACAAGATAAACTACAGTTTTTTATGACAATACAAATTTTAGAAACTAGTTGTTTAACATTTAAAAACATATTTGACAATAAAAGGTAAATTTGAAAAATAAAATTTGTAAAATATCTAAATTAAAAATTAACTTGTCATTTAAAATCAAAACAGATTCTTTTTTTAGGGGCCGTTCACTGATTTGGGAAATTTCAGTAGCGAATAGGCTGTTTAGTTTACTCTGAAATTACCCAAATAAGTGAACGGTCCCTTTAACAAAACGATGTGAAAAGCTGTGAAAAACCTGTTTAATTAATTAAAATTAANGGGGGGGGGGGGGCTGAACTTTAAGATCGTGTTGCTAATTAGTTAATTACAACAGTTTTTGCACAGCATTCATTTGCAAAATATTTAACCTGTGCAATTCCAGCATGGATAAGTATTTTATTTTAGTGTTGATTTTAAGCGTAATAAACATCACCATAAACATAAACAATGCAGTACGTGTTGTGGTAAACAACTGAAAAACAAACATTTAACATGTTTAGAACATTTAATGGACAAATTACATAGATGGGAAAAGACAAAATTGTCGATAATTGCTTATTTATTTATGTGTATAAAAGAGATGATACAGTGAGGCCCATAATTCTGTGGATAGGAAAACAGCTATTATACTGAAGTCATGACTTTTCATAGCAAAAGGTGTTTCACTTAAAATTGATTTTAAAGCTACTGCAAAATTATTGGCTTCCTCAGAAACCAATAGGACAAGTGTGCAGGGAAAACGAAAAACAGAAAAAGGAAATTGTGTAAATTTGAAGGAAGGAAGTTTAAAAGGGGGGGAGAGAGGAAAAATAGCAGAATTTATTTTTTATTGATTTCATATAATGTATTTGTCCGAGCCATAATTGTATGCATGACCTAGGTCATAATGCATTATCGACCTAAGTCATAATGCATTATCGACCTCGGTCATAATGCATTATTGACCTAGGTCATCATGTATTAGGGACTGTACATCAAGGATCTCTCCAACCTGGTCTACAAGGGCAAAAGGGGATTTATTTTTGTCTAAGAATGTTGATCCTGGATTAAAGGGTGTAAACCTAGTATATTTTAATATTGTTTAGTAATGTATCTTGTATAGGGCGGGGGTTCGCGTGTAATTCATCTTAAAAGAATTCATAAAACAGGGGAAAATAATTCCCCCGTATATTACATATCTAAAATTCCCCACCCCTTCTCTCTCTGTTAAAATTATCCTTTTTTTATTTCTAGTTTTGACTCGTGAGTATAAAGTTTTTAAGGTGTGGGGTCTTGTAATGAAATTAATACCATGAAACAAGCTTACAATACCATAAAATAACAGCACTTAATACTTTATGCACTATGTACTAGCTTGGAAACCCAGCTTTGCTTGGATATCTAAACTTTCACTATAAAAGTTCACCAACTTTATTAAGAATATTTTCAAACCACGAGACCCTACCGAGATTCCCAATAAAAATGTCTGTAAAATGGGTCAAAGGATTCCTGAGTTTAGACATACATACAAACAAACATGGCAACATAGATTCAAACAAACATGTCAACATAGATTACTACACAGGCGACTGTTTGAATTTTATTACTATGCAATTCTTGCATTTATAGTTCACTGTAAATGTGCAAGTGTTTCTGTCTTTGCCAAAACATTTAATATCGTTTTATTTATTACGATAGATTTATTTCGTACACACAGGTAAAATGGTGCAATTTTATCATAAGACAAAAACAAGAATAAGTTAACTTTATTAGAGGTAGATGACTAAATTCAAACTAGGGTTATATGTTATAAAGCAAGCTAGGAAAGTAGTCATTACGCTAATTTTGTGTGGGTTACTCTGTGAGTCCCAATACACATTTTACTTAGTTTATTATTTTTATGCCAATAAAAATATCATAAAAATAATTATTTAAAACAATTTATTTGTCCTTTAAATCAAAATTTTTATTAATTTTATCTGTTGCAAATGCAATAGTGTCTAATTTCTAAACGTTTCTCTAAGCGCTTGTCCTACTCCCAACCCATTACCCAGTTCTTATGATTTAAACTCAGCAAAAAGTTAGTTTCCATTTACAAACTTTCTCTATCTTCCGATTCCTTCAACCATTGGGAAGACGGTAAAAAATCATTAAATAAAACATTTTTTCAATAAGTTTTCTATCAAAAATGTGTATTTTATCAAATTTTATATCATTCTTTTCTCTTTAGTTCCTCTCTCACAAATATCGTTGCTTGTCCTTTGTTAAGTTCAGCTGCTCTAACTCTAAGATTAAGTACTCCACTAGAGCTTCCTAGAGCTTCTCTATCAAGTGGTTTATCTATTCTTAGTTCACCAGTATTCACATCAATTGAAAAATAATCCTACAACAAATATTTCAAATATAGAAAACATATTTTATATTTAGATATTTAGATCAAAAATCAAATATTCTTTAAAAGAATTGTTCGCCTTTCGTTAAGAACAATGTTTTCTCGTCTCAGAAATGTTCTGCATTGTTTTCAGAATTGTTATCACTCCCTTTAATTATATAATACCTGAGGGTTCTGAACCAGCTCGTAGATAATTCTACGCGGCCTTCCTGTATCTCCATCATTGGCTGTAACCTGGTTTCAAATTTACTTTTTGATCAACGTTTCTTTCAGAATAACATTCTTTTCTATCTAAACTGGATAAAATGTATTTGCAGTTGTTTTGTTCAATACAGTTGACCAGAAAATCTTTTTTGAAAATATTTATTTTTATCTTGATCAAATACTGGGTTCAAAAAGTACATTCCTTCATTATAACGGAGCCAACTGGGTCGTCTTCGTTTGCAACTCCGGTAAGCGAACCTAAAAATGGATAAAAAGATAATTATGCTCCAAATATTATGTTAATTCCAATTCTTCTACAATTTACACTACTATATACAAATTTTGATGTTTGGGTATGTTTGTGACAGTATGTTTGTGACAGTATGTTTGTGACAGTATGTTTGTGACAGTATGTTTATATGAACTTTACCTTCGAATATTGGCGGGGAATTTTGTACGTCTACAACGGAAAATATAATATCCGTTGTATCATTGTGCACGCCATCATACACCCCCAACTTGATCTGGTAGATCTGGCGCTCCCTGTAGTTGAACTGCTTCATCAGGACAATATTCCCTCGGAACATGTTGATCTTGGTGTCCTCCTGCCGGGGCATGATCTTAAAGAACTCGCAGACGTTCGCGGATTCCTGGTCAGGAGGTAGGCACTGTACATCAAGGATCTCTCCAACCTGGTCTACATCCTGGGCCTTAACATAAACATATTATATGTCAAGTGACCCTCCAGTAAAGTGGCCCCGCATGTTCTACACACAACTATTCTAAATAAACAATTGATCAAGTTTAATTGAGATAACTTTATTTTTCAATCTGAAGATTTATTATTTTTAATCATGGTTTCTCTAAAAAGTGAATTGCATATTTATTTTAAAGCGACGATGAAGGAAATTGTCAGGATGCAACATTTTTTTGAGATAGAAAAAGGTTGAAATCTTCCTCATTTTCATTGACATAAAGGTTCAAAACAGTACAAAAATTAAAGTACACTTTTAATTAAGTATACATCTTGCGTAAAAGGTCAAATTAAAGGAAAAAACCCAAGAAATAAAAATAGAAAATTTAATTTTTTATGAAAGGGATTGTTTTGAATTAGGAAATATTTAACATTTAAAAACTTTTGAAAGAAACCTCGACCCCTATTTAGGGCATATTTTAACAATAGATACTAATAAGAGATGTGGTATAAAAGGTGGGAACGTAGAGGGGGGGATTTGCCCAATATGGTTAGTGTTAACCCTGGAGAGGGTTTAAAACTGATTGGTGGTGGGTTTAAATAATCCTTAATATAACCCATTCAATCCAGGACAATGACAGAGGACACGTATGTCTAAACCGGGTCTACTTCACAAAATAAAAACAAAATAATTTATCAAGAAAAACCAAAACATGGATATCATCTAAGGATCGCAAAGTTAAAAGTTAAAACTGATTTTGAAGAAAAAATTGACCCTGCTTTAAATATAAACTTCATCAATCACAGGCCAAAAGCCGCCATAGAAAATTTAAGAATATATTCAATAATATGGATATTAAACATTTTTAACCCCTTTGCAAGTTGAGGACCCCCTTTCGCCCCCTCCCCATAAAAAATTCCAACAATCCGGCAACACCACAGCCCCACCCCTCCCAGCAACAACTCTCCAACTATCTAACAACCCCTCCCACCATCCTACAACCCCTCCAACTATTTAACAGCCCCTCCAACCATCCATCAACCCTCCATCCAACAACCCTTCCAACTATCTAACAACCCCTCCAACCATCCAACAACCCTCCAACCTTCCAAAAACACCCCCAACCATCCAATCTAACAACCCCTCCAACCATCCAACAACCCTCCAACCTTCCAAAAACACCCCCAACCATCCAACATCACATCAAGCTCCCAAATTCCCTCCAACAATAGCAACAACCACAAAAACCACTTATGAACTCCACCAACCATCTTACATCAGCAATAACCTTCGAACAACCACATTATCCACCTTTAAACCCCTCAAGCTATCTTACAACCCTTTAATCCAACCATCAACCCCCAAATACTAATCAGCAACACCTCCAACCATCCATTAACCCTTATAACCATTAAAAAACCACTTTAACCATCCAAAAACCATCAAACAACTCCTCCAACCATCTATCCAACCAACTAACAACCCCTCCAACCACCCATCCAACCAACTAACAACCCCTCCAACCACCCCTCCAACCAACTATCAACCCCTCCAACCACCCCTCCAACCAACAAACAACCCCTCCAACCATCCCTCCAACCATCTAATAACAGCATTAACCATACATAAACCCCTCCAACCATCGACCAACCACATTAACCATCTAACAACTTTAACCCCCTCCAACCATCTAACAACCCTTCAATCCATGACCAGCAACCCCTCAAACCATTCAACAACCCTTAAAATCATTTAACAACCCCTTCTCCAGCCATCAATAACATCTGTTAACACTGACTACTGACCTCTAAAGCACTAAATATTGTTGTTCCAATAGGAATATCCTCGTTCACGGTTGCTTTATAAGGTGTTCCACGAAACCTTAAGAAATAAACACAAAATGAACTCTCTGAAATGATGGGGTTTTAAACTGGTATATTTATATTCTAAATATATGCCAAATATTGAGTTAATTACATTATGTCATCTACTACAGACAGATTGCCTTTACTTTTATTTTGTTTCTATAGAACGAAAGTTTTCTAAAAAATAACTTAAAAGATGGTTTCAAAATGACCCCCCTGTTACTTACCGTGGAGGATTATCATTTTCATCTAGAATGATAACAGAGATCGGAACAGATACAACATTATCCGATCCCTCATCCACTTCATCCTGGATAATCACGGTAAACCTGGACAATTTAATTTTATCAAAATAGCAGAATTTATTTTTTATTGATTTCATATAATGTATTTGTCCGAGCCATAATTGTATGCATGACCTAGGTCATAATGCATTATCGACCTAAGTCATAATGCATTATCGACCTCGGTCATAATGCATTATTGACCTAGGTCATCATGTATTGTTGACCTAGGTCATAATGCATTATCATAATGCATTATCGACCTCGGTCATAATGCATTATTGACCTAAGTCATAATGTATTATTGACCTAAGTCATAATGCATTATTGACCTAGGTCATCATGTATTATTGACCTAGGTCATAATGCATTATTGACCTAAGTCATAATGCATTATTGACCTAGGTCAGAATGCATTATTGACCTAAGTCATAATGCATTATTGACCTATAATGTATTATTGATCTGGGTCATAATGTATTGTTGACCTAGGTCATGATGTATTATTGATCTGGGCCATAATGTATTGTTGACTTATGTCATAATGTATTGTGACCTAGGTCATAATGTATTATTGACCTGGGTCATAATGTATTGTTGACCTAGGTCATAATGTATTGTTGATCTGGGTCCTAATACATTATTGACCTAGGTCATAATGTAGTATTGACCTTGGTAGTAATGTATTATTGACCAGGTTATGTAACCTGGATCATAATGTATTAGTGACCTGGTTATAATGTATTCATAACCTGGATCATAATGTATTATTGACTTGGTTATAATGTATTTATAACCTGAATCATAATGTCATTATTGACCTGGTTATAATGTATTCATAACCTGGATCATAATGTCATTATGTATTCTTAACCCATATAATAATGCATTTTGGACAAGATGACCTATAGATCACGTATTTTTGACCGGTTGAATTGTATTGTTGAATGATACAGTAAAAATGAAACTAACCTGATTTCGTTATTGTTAATCTCCGTCTGAGACTCTCTATCTATAGGTAGAGCTACTGTGACCACCCCTGTGTTTGGGTCAACCTCAAACTTATCTGTTCCTTGAATACCAAACCTCACCCGGCTCCCTTCAGGGTCCTCACCCTCCAGGGTGTACACAGCACTTCCAACCTGAGTGTTCTCCGTCAGGGTGAACTGGTTCATATCAGCTGTAAAGAATGGGGGCAGGTTGAGCCCCCGGACATAGCCCAATACAAGGAATATAAACACTATGTGGAAAGTTCTACGATACATGTTTCCAACGCTACTGTCTTGTTGCTTCGTTAAAGTCACTGGATCTCCGAAGGGACCATTCACGATCACAAATGCGAGGTCACAAATCACAAATAAGATATATTAAAGTGGTTTAAATCACTGATTAAGCATATTTAACTCATCCTGCTCCATAGTATACCTAGAACCCAGGAAACCAGAAGGAGAGAGCTAAGGAATCTTAACCGCGCCCGGAGTACTAACATTTCTACCTGGAGAAACGGAGATAGATAGATAGACAGACACAAGGTGGATAGATAGATAGATAGGTTGGGTTACAGGGCACTCAACCCATCCTTCTTTACCATAGTTCTTGGCAATTTTTGAGAATTTAAACTACATTTCTAACTTTAAATTTTCCATATTTGTTGAACATTTTTTTCTTTGAATTCGTTGCTCCCTGAAGTTTATCTAATCAACCTGTAACGGTGAATAAGTTAAACCTAAACCTAAACCTTCAAGGCACAATTTCTCTCACATCTCTTACAGCACCATCTGTTGATATCGTTTGATGTCAAAATATTCATGAAAATTTGAATTCTTTGCGCGCATGTTATCAAGTATTATTGAGCGTGCACAGGTAAAGTATAAGGGCCTGCGTAAGGACTAGAACTGGAGAAATTGGGGGGTTATCACACTCAAGGACAAACAAGGCTTGGGACTCCGCAACTATTTGTTTTTGCACGGATAAGGGTGGGCTGGAGGGCCCTGGGGGGAAGGGGGAGGAGGGAAGAGGGGGGGATGTGCCCACTCCTTTAAAGGGTTTTGTATGTCCTAAACCCAGGCCGATATTTAAAGGGAAGGAATTTAAGGACAGGGCTGGAATAGTTGGCCGACTGTCCGCTAGAGGGACAGGGGGACAAACCCATAAAAGGAAAATATATTTTGCAATGAATATAATTGTATATTTGCCCAATTTTTAAATATTTTATAACAGAAAAGAATGGTAGATATCATGTTCATCAACTAAAATATTCTTATTCTGCTCTAACAAATTGATAATGTTTTTAACAAGTTATTCTTTTAAACTGAGTCAAGAATCAATTCCTCTTTGTAGTTTTGAAATCGTTATATCTAGAACTACGAAAAAGTGAGTTGGGATGGCAAACACAAAGGATTAAGGCCTAGTAAGCTTCATAGTTTATCCAGTTGTAATACAGTTCTAACCAGAAAACATTACGAAGCAAACATTTTTACTAGTAACTTAGCAAAGCACTAATGAAGTTAAATGAGCCTATTTACACTGTACAATTGCTATGTCTAATGTTCATTGAACTGGTTTCTGACGGAAAAACAAGCAAGCAAGTAAATTGCCGGGTTTGCTTTCGGTTTTTTTTTCCCATAGACTCATGTTTCAGGAAAAAGATTTAAGACAACTGTGTATCGTTAATGGTAATTTTTAGCTTAAATCCCTTTCTAAATTATATTCGGGAAAGAAATTTACAAAATCTTAAATTGAAAATATTTTAAAAATTAGTATTCATTTCACGTTTCCATTCAGCTTAACAGTAATAAGCCCTTGGCCCTTTAATTACGAAAAATATGCGTAAATCTCGACTGTAAGCGTACGGGTGTAAAATTGCGTAAATTACGGTTAAATTATGAAATATGCGGGCGCCGAACAACTCACAAAAAGTGTCCTTAGAGCTGCCAGAAAATTTAAACACAAAAAAATAGACAAGTAGGCATCTAAAACAAAAAAGGTCTAGAATAATAAACAAAAATAATAAGTAGACAAGTTAGACAAGTGGACAAGTTCAAGACAATTGGACAAGTTAGACAAGTAGACAAGTTCAAGACAAGTGGACAAGTTCAAGACAAGTGGACAAGTACAAGACAAGTGGACAAGTACAAGACAAGTAAAGCAATTCAAGACAAGTAGACAAGTTCAAGACAAGAGGAAGAGTCCAAGACAAGCTGACAAGTAAACAGAAAAATAGACATGATCCCACTGAAATCTTGACAATTCTGAAATTTATTTATTAAATATTAAGACAGTCTTGACTTGAAAGTGTCGGAACACCTTTTCCTTTGGCTTTACCATGCACAAACTCACTTAGAATTGTTGTTTGACACTTTAGTTTTAGTAGAAGTAAATATTTCCATTTACTGATAGCGCCGATTGAAGAATTCATATCTCTAATTGGAAAATGAGATAAATAGAAAGATAGACGTTACCGCCATACTATTTCTATTGGTTCAGAATAGACAACAAACACATGTTTGACCGAACCCTGATTGGATCAGGCGCTAATGGACTCGGCATACAAGAGTAGGGAGGCCTAGACATATTCAATTAAAAATTGCAATGCAAATGTTTGGAGATAAAGTTTAAAGTAGTAATTGGCAAAAAACTGCAGAGAGATTTTTGCGTGAGAATAGACAAGAACAAGAAATTTGCAAAAAACTGCATATAAAACAAGAACAAGAAAGACAAGAAAGTAGAAAAATAAGCGAAACAATAAGTAGACATAAAATATGAATTAAATACTTAATTAAAATTGAAAAAATGTAAAAAAAAAGTTTGTCATGTCGATAAGTTTAATTTGAAATGAATAGTAACAAAATGAAAGATCTTAAATCTTTGGACGATAATATTATCAAAGTTAGTATTCTTGAAGAAAAGTCTGTGTTTTCTTTAAACTATTAGAAACATTGTTCCTGTTGCCTAAACAGTATTTATTACAATATTTCATATTTTCGAATATTTTATTCTTTTACGTTATCCCCCTCAAGCAAAGAAATCGCATTATATTTTATATTACGTTCACACAATTTACATACCTCCCCC